TGGGCCACATCTAGACGTTTTCTTTCTTTTTCTATGAAACCAGTAAAGAAATTTATACTAACGATATAAGTTTATCTGGACTTTTCCTAAATTTGAAGTGTTTCCTGTCATGATGAAGGTTTAAGGTGTGAAATGTGTTAGCAGTGCAGTACATAATTTCTTGTGGAACAATACGCAGTTTAAGATTAAACTTTCATGAAATAATGAAATGCTTCAGTATTTGTGTCAGATCTTTGTCTGGCGCACTAATCTTTCTCTTCCTGTACAAGAACAATATAAATGATAAAAAAACTCTTGGATTAAACAGTGGAGTCAGGTAACATAGGGCTATTTTCATCCTTTTATCCTTAAATGAACCAGAGGTAGAGACTGCTGTTTTTTGGCATGTGTTGGAGTGAGTGAGGTCTACAGTTATGTTCAGTTCTTTTTTATTTAGACTTTCGTACCCCTTGTTTTTTTTTTGGTATATAAACTATAGATCAATGATATAAATATAATAAAAATGTCCACTATGTAAGATCCTATAAGGAGTGAAATTCTAAATGAATAGGTGACTCCGTGGGTCTCTTGCTGAGAGTGATGTTGCTCCATCTGCTGGTTACAGTGTGGTACTGCAACTAAGTGCATTTAAAAAAAAATTAAATCAGGACTATGGTGTCATTTAATATTATTTATTACTATTTTAATAATTGTTAATATTTCGAATTTGCTTTTATTTTTATATTTTTCATTTCTCATCTTCATTTTAGTTTTGAGAATTTTATTATCTGCTTTGTTATTATTCTTATTTTTGTTTAGCTTTTCATATCCATTTTGCCTTAGCAATTTTAGTACTTAAACTTATTTTAGACAGTTGACAAGGTAACATTAAAGCTATTTTAATTTCATGTAATATTAAAATTTTATTTAAACTTAATTCAGATACTGAAATGATTTGTAATGGTTAATAGTTTTAGTTAACAACAACAACAGTGATTATAAGACAAAGCCTTATATTGCCCTTTTAGGTTTAATGTTCTTCTGATGGCTTGTTTTTGGACGTTATTGTAGGAACAAATAATTATATGAAATTAATGACAGATTAACTGAAGTGATGAACTTCCAAAATTAACCAAATGTGCATTTAGTGTCAATGATTTTTTTATCATTATCATACATGTCTTATTATCAATGTTGAACAGTTGAAACAGTTTGTGCTGCTTATTGTCACACACGCGCACACACTCATTCAAGTGTTTTTGATCAAATCCTGCCTTGGTGATCACAAGTGACTCAAAAACATGAAAAATCTCAATGATTCCAATTTTTTTGACTAGTAGTGTATGCTATACTGGCATTTTAGCAGCCCTGCTTTCTAGATACCAGTATCAGCAACTGAAACCGCATGTTGTTGATCACTAAACGCACTGACATAAGAGAACTGGGCCAGTTATTGGGTAATATCACAGTCCCAACAGTTACCTGACCCCATTAGCAGCCCTGTTTTACAGTGTGTGTGTGATTCTTAATGACACTCGCACAAGTGCTGACATTACAATCAGTAAACCTCTCGAGACAGTTTCCTGTAGATGTGATGAGGCAGGCTGTTTGCCAGACAGTAATGTTATAAATGGAGGAAATGTGAGTACAACCTCCACGATTTAAATCAGATTTTGAGTCCCTTTCATCTATTTAACGCCCTTGAGCAGGAAATCTAGACCTCTACCTCCAGATGACCTTGCGTTTGTTCACTAACAGAGCTAGAACCCGTTATTTTCCAAAGATGTCTGTTATCTTGTGAATCAAGAGGGCAGGCTGCTTTGAAATAACTTTAATGTTCTAATTAGAAGCCTGAAAAACAGTACCGGCCAATCAAAACAAAGACTGTAGGATTGTCAAATGCAGGTTCAGTTATATGCAATCAAAACCATTGCTTTGGTTAAATCCCTTCATAGAAGACTACAATGTTCTATTCCAGATAAAAATACAAAAGCAGAATCATAAAATAAAAAGGATAGTTCACCCAAATATGACAATTCTGTCATCATTTACTTACAGAAGATATTTTGAAAAATGTTGGTAACCAAACATCTGACGGTAGCCATTGACTTCCATAATATGGAAAAAAAATTACTATGGAAGTGTACTATGGATATAAGGGTGAGTAAATGATAGATTTGTCATTTTTGAGTGAATTATCCACATGAACTCTCTCCAATCAAATATGAATAAAGTGCCTTATATAAGCCATTTTCTAAGCTGTACACATGTTAGGAAACCAGAGAGTGATCCTGCTGTGATGGCTCAACATTCAGTTATCTGCATTGAGTTTAGTGTGAGCCTGTATTAAATGTCAGACACCCACACTGTGAAATCATCCTGTTATATGCAATATAGCGGTTGAGATCCATTAGGCACTGTAAATGCTGTAGAACAATTCCATTTTCATTATATATGTACAGTTTGCATCTTATGTATTAGATGATATGGCTCTCAACTGAAGAAAGTTGACCACAATAGTAAATATTAGATAAAGTGCAGTCATTGTTTCAGAAAAGAACAATGCTGATAAAAAATACAATGAGATATGAACTGACCATTGCCAGATATTGCCTGAACTGGAATGTGAATTCTAGGCTTAACTTGTCTACTTCTGTTGCTCTGTTCCTGGAATAAAATATAAAACTGTACCAATAAATGTAAGGCTGCAAATGTTTCTTAATTAGATATCTGAGAACCTACATATCTCCACGTGATAATTTACGGTGTATTAGATATGTTAATATTTACTGCTCTTGCTATCTGTGTTTTATTCTGTTATGGAGGTTACATCTTATCTTTGGGATAGAAACATTAAGATGTTTTAAGAAGAATAACAAATTATTTACAGAAATGCACTTTTAGAAGGCAATTCGTTTCAGTGCTAGCACTATAGTCAAGAGCTAGAATCTATCAAAATCTATTAAAATTTGTATTTTCCTATTTTTAATTTCTGTAGCAAATCTCACAAAGAATAGAACATTTCTGGGCTGTTTATTCATCCCAAAGTCGAAAGAAAAAAAAAAAAAAATATATATATATATATGTATATATTTATTAGTGCTGTCAAACGATTAATCGCATCCAAAATAAAAAGTTTTTGTTTACATATGTGTGTGTACTGTGTATATTTATTATGTATATATAAATACACACCCATGCATGTATATATTTAAGAAAAATATGTTACGTTTATATATTAAATATTTGTATATAATATAAATGATATGAATATAAATATATACAAGGAAATGTACATATACATAGACATGTATATGTAAATATATGTAAATATTTTCAAAATATATACTGTGTGTATTTATATATACATAATAAATAGACACAGTACACACAGATATATTATGCAAATAAAAACTTTATATATATATATATATATATATATATATATATATATATATATATATACATACAAATTATTTTAATTATGCAACATATCATTTAGCATTATTCTCTTTTGATTTTGAGATGAAATATAACCCAGATATCATCACTCTCTAATGCTTTGAAGAGCCTGAGTGTTTGTCTATGCAACTGCAGTGGGTTTCATCTTCCTCCCAGCCCCGATTACACTGGCTAAGGATGAAAACTGCCTACAACCTGCATCTGAGCACCAAGCTGTATTGGAGCGGGACTACAGAGGCACAGCAAGGTCACAGGGAATCCCTGCTGTCAGCACAGCCATCACACACTCGCACAGGGTGGTCCCAGCCACGAGAGGGCACTGGCCTGGTCTTCATCGAGCAGTTCCCACACACTCCCTGACCGCATGCCCGGCAGTGGTGCTTGGACATGCTGGGGGTGAAGGGTTTAGTACAGCTGTGGCACTGGGTGATCTCATGGTCTGGGATCCAATAGTCTGGTCTTGCAACTCCCTTTACGAAACCTGAAGAGAGGACATGATGTTTAAAAAAAACCCTGACTCGCTCTGTATAAACAATACAAGTCTCTAGTTTAAGTTCAGACACTATGAGTGTATTGGTAACACTCACATAGGGGATAGTCCACTGCGGTGGAGACCATATCCAGAGTGGACTGAGCTACTTCTGTCACTCTGCGGGCGACGAGTGTCCGGGGTTCTGTAACGGCCACTGCAGGGGAGAGAATGTAATGTCTCAGCTCAGCAAACCAGTCAGCATCCCACACTGAGACCATTAAAGGGGTCATATGATGCGATTTAAATATTTCCTTTCTCTTTGGAGTGTTACAAGCTCTTGGTGCATAAAGAAGATCTGTAAAGTTGCAAAGACTAAAGTCTCAAATCCAAAGAGATATTTTTTATAAAAGTTAAGAGTCAACCACGCCTACCTAAAACGGCTCGTTCTAACACACCCCCACATGTCTACGTCACGATGTGGGAAGATTTGCACAACGCCGCCCAAATGTTCACACAAAGAAAGAAGGCGTAACTTTTATTTTCGCTGTAGTATTGTTGCCGCCGCCATGTCGTGAAGGCGCTGTGTTTCGTTGTGAAAGCGAAACTACTTTGGTTGGCCTTCCAAAAGACGACGATATCCGCTTCGTCATGCCTAGAGCTGATCTGTGCTGGTCGCTGAGG